GGAGTGCAGTGGCCGCTCCCAGCCATCGCAGCCTCGACCTGCTGGGTTCCTGCGATCCTTCCGCCTCAGCCTTCCAAGTAGCTGGAATTACAGGCACGCGCTACCATGCCCGGCTGATTTTTTGATTTATTGTAGAGATGAGGTCTCGCTGCCCAGGCGGGTCTCGAACCCACGGGCTCAGGCAATTCACTCACCTCAGCCTCCCAAAGGCACGGGATTACAGGCTGAGCCACCGAGCCCGGCTCACGTAAGGTTTTAAAGGGGCAGCTTTAAATGGACCACCTTATACCTTTCTGAGATAATGACTACAAAGTAATCTAAAATCTTGACAGGATCATCTCACACTGTGCTAATGAAGCTAAGTACAAAAATAAACTAGATGTTGAGGGTAATATTTGACTTTCATAACTCCAACTTAAATGCTTGTGTTCATCAAAATGATTTCATTTTCTTTACATGCTTATCTCATGGTGTGTAAGCATTACAAATATAAACTGATACACTAATTCTAATACTACTTTTATTGATGTTTTTATAAATAATATATATTGGAGTTATAGTTAAGGTTTCATTTTTTTAAAGGATTCCACTAATAACATTTTGATCTTTTTAGTGTTTTAAACTTCAAACTGTTTAGTCTAAACAATTTTTCTTTTTTAAGAAGTCAATGAATTCAAAGACAAATAACTTTAAAGTTCTTATGAGTTCTTTAAAATGCAATTTCTTCAAATTAGCGAAGCATGTGGAATCAACAAACAATGGGGGGAAAAGACATGTGCATGCACAGCTGTGTGTGTGTGTGTACGCACGTGTGTGTACATGCCAGCTACAATCCTTAATGTGAAACAGAATTTTAGTTCAAGGCAAGTACAAACAATTGCATGGGAAGGCAATAAACAAGGCAAAAGACCCAAATGGTACCTTTATTTTATGATGTTCAACAAATTTTCCATAGGAATTGACATAGGCCACAGCCTTTTCCCTCAAAGACAACTTGTAGCCCCAATTTAGAGAGCCGATGTAGTTCTGAATGGCTTCTGTCATTGTCTCCCAGTTGTGCTTCACTGAGAAGAAACAATCAGGGTGAAAATGTAAAGTGAACTTTACCTTTTTTTCTTTGTTTCTTTTTTTTTAGAGACAGGGTCTCACACTGTTGTCCAAGCTGAAGTGCAATAGTGCGATCATAGCTCACTGCAGCCTTGACCTCCTAGGCTCAAGTGAACCCTGCTGCCTCAGCCACCTGAGTAGCTAGAACTACATACAGGTGTATGCCACCACACTTGGCTAATTTTTTTTTTGTAGAGATGAGGTCTCACTGTGTCACCAACTGGTCTTGAACTCCTGGCCTCAAGTGATCCTCCTGCCTTGGCCTCCCAAAATGCCTGGATTACAAGCATGAGTTACCATAACTGGCTATGAATTTTACTTTTAATGGTAAATTATATGTAACCACACATGAGCCATACTATATATTGCTTTAAAAATCAAGAAGTGGACAAAAGAAAGTTAGCAACTTAAATCTTTTTTAATGCAAGCTACAGTTTATACTCTTCCTATTTTATATTACAAAGCATGTGCAAAAATCAGAGTTCTGAAGAGAAGAAAACTAAGAGAAACCCATGAAGGAGAGAGTAGAGGAAACGGCCTCACAAGGCCATACCTATCATGGTGCAAGGCAGGTGGCTCACCTCATCTCAGGAGCACCTTCCAAAGCCCTTTCTCACTCTATGGGGCCATCTCCATTTGGCCACTTGGATGGGAAGCAGCTTCAAGTCAGTGAGCATGGTGCACTCACCTCTCCAAATCAGCAGCTCCACCCCCACTCCATTCATGGGGTGGTGGTTTCATGGCAGTGAGTATCTTATATTTCTTTACAATAAATGTGGCTCCTGCTCATTGCTGCCCACCTCTTACATCACAATGTTCACCCAGTCCTTTTGAAGGCAGGCTAGGGTTCAACTGTGGGGACTCTGCATCATCCCTGTATCATCTAGGTGGGATTTACTGCATGGTGTTCACCTGTCTACTGATGTTGGATCCCGAAGGTCACACCAGTCTTCGTGCAGCTCCATGCTTACAAGATGCGGAGGCTAGCCCAGGGCTCCTGTCATAACTGGATGAAATTCCCAAAGACCCAAGGCAACAGAGGTCAAAGGTCACATCTGGAGACTCACCCCATCTACCTCTCTCAAGAAATGCCCCTCACTCATCCAGGGACATGGGACGTCACTGTGCAGGAAAGGGAGAGGACTAGGAAATATGTCTAGTTCTTGTTCTTGTAAGAGACACTCTATATTAGAGCTTCTCAAACCTGAGGCACCCAATGTCAGGATCCCCTGGGAATCCTGCTGAAATATATAAACTACAGAATCAGGAGTGGGACCTCAGAACCTGTGCAGTTCAAGAACTCCCCCAGGAGATTCTGATATGCCAAGTCTGTGGACCGGGATTTTGAAACCACTTGCCCTACTGTTTTACTGATATGTTTAGTCCTGTACCAGTATCACATCCTTAAATACTGATGGGAAAAGTCACCCTCTATACCTTCTCAAAGGTTGCTTAGCTATTCTCACAAATCTACTTTTCAATAGGAACTTTAAAATTATCAATTTCCAAAAAGAAAAAAAAATATCTCATTGAGATTTTTCCTGGACTTACATAAAACTTACGAATTCATTTTGAAATATCATAGTATCTTCACAATATTGAGACATCCCTTCTAAAATCAGAGTATTTTTTTTGTTATGCCTTTATATTCTTTCCTTATAGATCCAGTACACTCCCGGTTGAACCTTTTCCAAGGTGGTCTACCATTTTTTTGTTACAATTTTCCATTATATTTTTAACTTGTTATTGCTGGTACATAAGGAATCTATTGGTTTTTGCCCATTTATCTTATAAACCATCAACTTACAGTCAGTTCTAATATTTCTTGTTCTAATATTAGCTCCAATTAGTTCCACTATTTTTTAGTTAAATCTCACATATTTTAGGTATCTTGTATATAATTTATACAATGTAACTCATATTACAAATTTAAAATATCTTTTTATTACTCCTTGTCCAATATGAGCACTTCCTCTTTCCTGCTTGTCCTTTGTGTGCACTGGCCTGAAGCTCTAGAACAGTGCAAATATCAGCAGTGAGAGTGGGTGGGCAGACAGCCCATCTGAATCTTGACTTAATGTAAATATCTCAAGTTCTTCCCCATTAAAAATGTGCTTCTACACTGGGCATGGTGGCTCACACCTGTAATCCCAGCACTTTGGGAGGTGCCTGAGCTCAGGGGTTCGAGACCAGTCTGGGCAATCTGGCAAGATCTCATCTCTATAATGAATAAAAAAATTAGCCAAGCATGATGCCTGTAGTTCCAACTACTTGGAAGGCTGAGGCAGAAGGATCTTCTGAACCTAGCAGCAGGTCGAGGCTGTGATGGCCTTGAGCATGCCATTGCATTCCAGCCTGGGTGACAGAGTAAGACTCTGGCTCAAAAAAAAAAAAAAAAAAAGTGCTTCTGATTTGATTTTCCTGTATCATGTAAAGTGGTACCAGTTTTTGTAAAAAGCAAGAATGGAAGTGCGTTTTATATCTAGTGGCTGTAGAGCTGAAATCCCAGCTGTCATGTCCTTGGTCACGTGTATTCCTTCAGAACGCAACTGGAGAAGATCTGCCAATGCTTGTCCTAGAGTCTTGGCCACCTGACTCTAGGGCTGTAGTTTTCTATTTTTAGACTCTCTTTCTGTATCATAGTCATTTCAGCTTCCTTTCTAAGTTTTAGAACAGTTTAAATTATAGAGTAAGTGCCTGCTCCTTGAAGACCTAGGGAAATTTACTTGGTAAGCTAACAGCTTTTACTGAGAACTGGGTTCCTACACTATGTTTTCTTTGATAATTCAAGTCAATTCTGGTCATTCATACTTTCCTAGAAACTATTTCTTTTCACTGAGGTATTTAACATAACTGCTAATTTGTATACTAAATTTTTTTTTGTTTCTTTCCTATCTATAGTTATACTTCGTTTTGTTTCTTTCCGATCTATAGTTTCTCATACCGAATATTGCATAATTGTAGAGTCTTTTCCCCTTATTTCCTTGATTGAATTTGCCAAAGGTCTACCTAATTATTTGTATTTTCAAATACACTCATGGTTTTGTTTACCAACTCTATTGAGGGGGAGCTAACATGGATTTCTGGAGTCTTTTGTTTGCTTGTTTTTTGCTTATATTCTACCTTTCTGGCATTAACTGCCATTACTTTTATTTGTATTTCCCCACTCACCTTTTCTCATCTATTTAAAAATTCCCCATCTATCTAAAATTTTAAATAGGAAACTTAAACTTCTGTATTTTCAGCAATTATCTTTTTTGGGTTTTAAGTATGTGTCTTATAAATAGCACACGGAAGAATTCTGCTGTTTACTTAACCTGATAATCTGCCCTATTCAGTTTTATTCTGATGAGTAATATGACTGCTCTTATATCTGGCATCTTATTTTCTTGAAAATTTTTTTTGTTTTAAATTACAGTTTCATGCTGCTTCTCTTTTTATTTATCCTTTACTAACTTTTCTTTGTACATTTTCCCTTTTCCTGTTAAACTTTTACTTGGAAGTTCTACATTCAACTTTCTAAATCAGGAAATTATCTATGAGGATGAACCCAAAAATCAGAATTTACTTATAAAAAATTGTGTATTTATTCTTGCATAGTTAAACTTCAGTCACCTTCCAAGTATTCTCTGGTACAATATGCCTACCGAGATGCTTCTTCCACTGCTCAAAATGGTTTTCGAACTCGTCAATTTTGAAATCGTTTAGCACTTCTGCTGTTTTTGTTTCACCTCTTCCATGTCGGTAAAACATTTCCCTTTGAGGACTATTTTTATTCAAGGAAATGAAAGAGTCGCTCAGGACAAGACTGGGTGAAAAGGGAGAGTGAAACATGGGGGTCATGCCATTTTTTATCAAAAAATGCGGAACACTCAGCATGGTATAGGCGGTGTGCTCATACATCACCCATCAAGCCGGGCTCGGTGGCTCAGCTTGTAATCCCGCGCCTTTGGGAGGCGGAGGTGAGTGGATTGCCTGAGCCCGCGGGTTTGAGACCCGCCTGGGCAGCGAGACCTCATCTCTACAATAAATCAAAAAATCAGCCGGGCGTGGTAGCGCATGCCTGTAATTCCGGTTGCTCGGAAGGCTGAGGCGGAAGGGTCGCCGGAGCCCAGTAGGCGAGGCTGCGGTGACCGGGAGTGGCCACTGTACTCCAGTCTGGGCGACAGAGTGAGACTCCAACTCAAAAAAAAAAAAAAAAAAACCACCCATCATGAAATGGGCAAACACAATGAAAGAATCTCAAAAAAATCACTGAAGCCAAACATAGCCTCTCACAACAACGCTAGCTGGTACACTGATGTCCATGGGTTCCTAGAACACTTACCTAGAGGGGGACGTCTGTACTATAAGAAGCCAGTTCTCCAAAGAAAAAAAATTCCATTTTTTGGGGAGGGTCCCCTTCATATACATTTTAAACTTATTTTCACTTATATTAACATCAAGAACGGAAGTACCTAAAACACTCTTCCAGAACATTCTGTTGACTTCTCTTGCCCATGTATTGAGCCTACGCATAAGCACTGCTAAACCCCAAAATGCATGCAGTGACTAGCTAAGTATTCCTCGGTTAGCACCTTAAAGTTGACATAGGAAGCGGATTGTATATAGGGAACTTTGAGGAATCTCATATAAGATTTTACTCACTCAAGGAACTAGAATGTATTTAGAAATGTTCAGTCTTTAGAACAGAGTTAAGCACATCAACTGATCCCTTCCATGAAGCACAGTGATGCAGCAGACGTCCCACTATCTCTTCTCTGAGAGTGCAGAATCCACTCAACACAAGAAGGCAGGGCAACACATCAAAGGTCCCAGCTAGTATACTATGCAAGTCTAATGTCACCCACCAAAGCTGCCTCTACTTACTGCGTCCCCATCACAGACCCAGTGCTGTGACTCAGCCCTTCATGCCCCTATGTCCCCATCACAGAGCCAGTGCTGTGGCTCAGCCTTTCCCAGCCTCTTCCTCATCACTGAGGCTTTAGAGTTTTCTTCCCACTTGGACTCAAGTATCACAGAAAAGCTTTTAATTTTAAAAAGTGACTCCTTAACTACCTGCCAAATCAAAACATACCTAATTAAATCCTACTCCAGTAGACCTTTCTGCAACACTTAACTCAAGTTAGTACTCTTTTTAGACTCTCTAAGTCCCAAATCGTGATCTTAAAACATCAATTCCTCCTGGTTTCTGAGACACAACTCCCCTGTGTCTCCTCCTCTTCCTCAACACTTACCCTAGGAAGTAAGCTATCTCAGCATTCTGTCTTCTACTCTTTTCAGTTTATTCTTTTTTTGTTGTTGTTGTTGTTTTGAGTTGGAGTCTCACACTGTCGCCCAGACTGGAGTGCAGTGGCTGCTCCCGGCCACCGCAGCCTCGACCTGCTGGGCTCTGGCGATCCTTCCACCTCAGCCTTCCGAGTAGCTGAAATTACAGGCACGCGCTACCATGCCCAGCTGATTTTTTTATTTATTGTAGAAATGAGGTCTCGCTGCCCAGGCGGGTCTCGAACCCGCGGGCTCAGGCAATCTACTCACCTCAGCCTCCCAAAGGCGCAGGATTACAGGCTGAGTCATCTTCTCAGTTTATATATTCCCAATTCCTAAGTCTTTAGCTGTCACCCACATACTGAGACTCACACCAGCTCTAGCCCAGCCTTCTCTTGAGAACACACCTTCCCATATGGCCAACTCCACCAGTTGCTCCCGAGGCACCAAGGGAACGTCCACGCAAGATGAAGGACTTGGGGAGAGGAAGGGTTATCAAATGTGAAGAACTACCCAGAAATTAAACTACCAAACCGCCAAGCCGAGAGGCCTCATCCAACCTACTCCCAGCTGGTACTTGTTTGACCTAAAGCTCTCCATTGTTTGACTGCTTGGGGAAATGTGTCCGGTCTCAACTCATTATCCTGAACTCAGCCACGTCCAGGCACTAAACCAAATCCATTGGTGCTTTCCATCTCAAGGAATGGTAGTTCATTTTCACCAAGTCCCTCTTTCTGGATTCCTCCCTCACCATCTATCCTGCCATGACCTGGATGGCCTGTCACAGTTACCTGGCTAGACATCTGTGACACATTAAACATGAACATGCCCACATCTACTGACTGTATCCACATCTCTGGGGAAAGAGACAAGATGTTTGTAATTCTTTTAAAACTCCTCAAGACATTCTGATACACAGTAAGTCTACATTGAACTGGTTACCGTGCCCAATTAATTGTATGCCTTCATTCTCTCTAAATCTATCTTATATGCTCCAGCCTGACTTCAGTCTTTGCTCGGGCTTCTGTCATTTCTTGCCCCCTCTTCCCTGTCTTTTCCTCTCCCTCCTAAGTTCTTCAGTGCCATCAAAGATGTGAAAGCTGTCAGAATCAAAATGGAGTCGTGTGTTTAAACAACAAAACAAAACCCTGACAAAGAGAGCCAGGGAAGGCCACAGAGGGCTCTCTTGCTTGTATGCCTGATAACAAACCTATCACAGAAGACTGCAAAAATCACAACCTTGCACAAAAATACATCTACCCATAAACTGCCTGCCCAACTTGGGACTGAAGTCACCCTCATTTAATAATAATTATTTCAAAGCAATTATGCAATTATCATTTTTCCTTTAAAGGCCTTTGTCTTCATTCATCTCCCTAAATATGTACATAGTTTACTATGGTGTGTGTTTTCCCATCACAATACAAAATTCCAGAATCAACATTATTTTCTCTTACGGAGATTCTAACTGTTATCTAGGTTGACAACAGTATCCAAAATCTAAGCTGTAATTAATGCTCCTCTCCTGCTTAAACTTCTCAACACTTTTGTTAGCTTTGAGGTAAAATTTAACTCCTTAAAATGGCATTGAAGGGCCTTCATGATCTGCTCACCTCCCTAATCTCATTTCTTCTAACATCCTCACGCATTTTTCATTCCAGCTGCTCACTATGCCCCAGATACACTATATTTTCTCACATCTCCATAGTTTTAATCCAGCTGCTTCCTATCTTAAGTGTCCTACTTCTCTATGACCTTCAAGGTGTAGTTCAAGGGTCACCTTGTCCCAAAAACTTTCCTTGACAACCCCATCCCAGACCCTCAAGGCTACATTAAGTGTCCGTTAAGTCAACACTCAAAATAACACCATTAATTACAGCGCACTGAATGGACTCCCTTGTCTCTCTCCTACCAGTCTCTGCACTGCTCATGGATAAGAGTTCTTTTCCTCACCTCGGGATCCCCAGAGTAGAGCCACTAAATGTATATTGGGGGAATCTGTTTTCCACCTCTCACTAAGCAAAGACATATATACATCCACTGAGAAAACAAAAAACATTATCACAATAACAGATAAAATTCAAACACTATCCCTTGTTATTCTGTTTTCTTTATAATTGAAATAAATCTAGAAATAGTAGTTAGTCACACTTTCACATTCTGCTAAGGTCTAGAATTACTACAGCTGAAACAATTCCTTCCCTAGGAGTAGGCCCATCTTTATGTCCTCTTTGCCTGGCTGACACACAGTGTTTTCCTAATGAATGTTTATTAAATGAATTTAAAATTCAACTATAAAAGTATGAATTACACACCTTGTTTATTATACTCCCAGCCAAATTTCCTTGAGTCATGTAATGCCTGTCCCAAAAGGGCAGCTTGATGCATCAATTTCTTAGGAATACAGCCTACATTTACACAAGTGCCACCGAGACCTGAAGAAGAAAATAACAGTTTTAATGTGAGTGTGAGTGTGTGCATGTGGTTTCACACACCTGCTCAGTGTTACTGTACTAAAATACGCAGAAATGACAAGCTCAAATGGTGGTGGGGACAATATCCCATGCCAAAACAAGACACAATTGATTAGCCCAGACTTTCTAACCAAGGGTCCGTGGAGGAGACGTAAGGATGAGCAAAAAGATGGATATGCATGTAAAAACTTTTCTGGGGATAGAGTCCAACACTTTCAAGTGAGTCTAAGCCTCAAAGGGATTAGAACTATATTAGATGAATAACATATACACACCAAGGGTCAGAATCTCAGCTCCCAGTCTTTCACTTCCCATTACTCTGACTCCTTTGAGCCAAGAGTTGTCTACCACACACTGCCCAGTGATATTCACTCTGAATCTTGAACAACACAAAACAGATCATGCAAGAGAGTGCCTCTTTGCATGGCAGAATTCAAATGTTTCCTCATTGATGACAGTCCCTTATGGTTCACCAGATAAGCAGTATTATTTCTGGAAAGGAAAGGGAGAGGGGGAGGAGAAAAGAGGGAAGTGAGCAGGAGAAGGGAGAAAAGACAAGTATCCAAACACCACAAGAATATTACCCAAAAAATCAAGGCAGATTAGCTTTAGTATATGAAATTCCAGGCAACAACTTTTTGAGTATGTTTGAATTTTAACAAACTATTCTCACATTTTAACAGTCAGGGTTCTGGCAGGAAAGAAAAGACATATTCAAGCTGGGGGAGCTGAAGAGAGTTTACAGAGAAATCATTACCACAGGGTGGACAGGAAGAGCCAAAAGGATCCCGTAACCTAATGACAGAGGAGACCCACTGGCAGCCCCATGTGACCAAGGAGAATGAGTGAGTGCACCCACCTAGAGGGAGCTGGCTACGGGGTATCTTCCATGGGAGGATGGAGCTACCCAGCAGGGAAGGAGCCAGACTAAGACCCCAGCTCTGCTCTCCTCTCTTCCTCACATCTCCTCTCATTGCCCCAAACTGGCCAAACCGGTTTCCACTAGAAGCCAGAGGGTGAGGCTGCCAACTGATCAGTCTTTTGGGACACCGAGCTGGGCAGGGACAGAGGGAAAGTGTGTTTGAAGCATAAACAGAAAAGATCCAGCACCAAATCTATTCGTTCTATTTTACAGTGGGGGATGGGACAAGGAAAGATAGGCGTGTGAGTCTACACTACACAGCAGAGTCATGAGACTAGAGCCACCTAGGTTCCTTACTAAATTAAACTGTAATGATTATACACACTAAATCTACTATCATGCAGCCATCAAAGTAGTACAGTCATTATTAGAGCCATCATTATAAAACTGGTGCAGAAACACAGAAAAATGTTTATGACAAATTTAGGTGACCATGATTATATGACAATACTAGCACATTGGGGTCATGGGAATTTTTTCTTTACCTTTCCAACATCACAACTTATTAATGAAACAGGCTAGTTGAACTTCTTGAGATGGCTGAGAATTAAATGAGATTACTAAAAGCAAATAATGTATGTAATGAGCAAAAACAACATAGGAAAACAGCTTACCCCAGGATGTGCCTTGAGGTGATGGGACCACAAAGTCTAGCACCATAACTTTCTTTCCCAAAATGGCAGCTTCCTACAAAAAAAAAAAAAAAAACTACACATAAAGATCTTCTCATTTTTCTAACACTCCCCTGGTATTTCTCTCCCCTAAATGACAACAGACCGGTTGTGTGCGATAGCATGGTCTTTTCCCTGAATTAAACCAGCAATTACAATAAAAGCTTAGACTGTAACATTACAATTCATTTTTTTTAAGTAGAAGAAATGCTTCTTGGTATCACCAGGAAAATTATTTATGAGTTTCATTTCTGTGTTCATACCTTCGCACACGCAAGGCCACCCGAACCACCACCAATGACAATGAGATCATAATCATGTGCTGCATCTTCCTGAAGGAGCTTCTGCAACAAACCACTCTGATGTGCCTATGGTTTCATGAAAGGAGATACAATTTTGCATGACTTAAAGTTTTAAAATTGCTTACTTGCACCCTATGTTAAATCAGTATGGGTTTCTTTTATTAAAAATCTTAGAAATAATCTATAATTTACCTAAGCAGGAATTTTAAGTTTATCTGGATGCTATTCAAAAATAGGATCCAACTAATTAGCACTTATGCCAAAGTATACATTTTTTTGTCCCTTCCATCTATCACCTGACATCTAGACATATGCCACATAACCCAGAAGGTGATAGTTCTTCATCTTTATCAGATGTGGTCATTTTCTTTGGTCTTATCATCAAAATATTATAGTCAAGTGCAGAAATAACCAAGATCATTTTCTAATATCCCTGTTCACCTGTGCTAGTTTTCATTTCAAAAACAATTCTTATTGCATCATCAGCACATTTTTTCACGGTTTCTCACAAACTGATCTAAATTTTGTAGCTGTACTAGTAAACTTCCTATACAACACAACATCTCATTTTTTTCTTTCAGCAATGATCATGAAACTGGCCCTGCATCATAGTCTCTTGTTCTTCTGGTCGTCCTTGTAACCAGAAGTAGCTTAGACGAGGACAGAGATTCAATATGTGATTTAGAAACAGACTTCTTTATGCAAAGTCAGTTGTTCAACCCCAATATCTTGGTTTTAGGAACACCATGCTCAGAACCAGCCCTTCCTGTGAAGCATAACAGGTGCTTCATTAACTATGGGGACTCACTAGGTGCCATGTGTTCCACAGAAGAATGGGTCCCTAAGAAAGCCTGTGACCCATTCTAAAAAGAACTCCTTTGAACACCTTACTTTTAGGTGCCCTTAGGCAAATCCATCTCCTAAGGATCTGCCATCCAATAACTATTTTTCCATCTTGAAACAGAATTGCTACTGCTGCATCTCCAGATTCATTCTTTGACATCATTTTCTAGGTTAGGATTGACAAGACCAGCACTTCAGAAGATGCTTAGGGGCTATCATTATAGGACTTACCACCATGTACATTGGGTTATAGCTTCTAGGACTAATAAAGCAGGTTGTTACCACATAAGGATGCTGATCACAGATTAACACACAATGTAGACACTCTTTTTTCCCCAAGAAAAATATAATTTTTAACTGAAACCTCAAATATAAGTATTTAATCAATTAATCATTTATTACTAATATTTGCATACATATATAAAGGATATAACACAGTAGAATTTTAATAAAATAATTATAAAATAAGAACCCTATTTAATAAACATTAATTTTTCATCTATCACTGTCTTAACTGACAGCTCATGTTCATTTCTAACATTCCTGGAATCAAAACATCAAAAGTCACAGGCCTTTGAAAAGCACCCCAGGGTTAGCAGTCTTGACAGGAATTCTAATTACCTTGGACAAGAATGTAAGCACTGACCTAATTTTCCTGGTGAAACAGCCCTAGTTTCTCTCTCCACCAGGAGGAAAAGACCTGGGATATCTCCAGGGTGGCTCACCTGTTTTGTCCTGGGCCTTCATGCAAAAACCTTCTTCTTAGCTTCTGAAGCTCAGATTGACAGAAAAGCTAATTTACCTTAAAGTAATCAAGATTATCTGATAACTACTATACATGCTTCTCCACTTTACAACTTCTAAAAAATGAATAACTGGATTTCCAAAAATCATTTCCCCCTTTTAAATACTTTTTTTTAAAAAACAAAATTTGAACGAACAGCATTGAAGAACATAGAATATAATTATTACCTGGAAAGTTCGGTCACATCCACCCACATGCACTTTATTCACAAAAATATTGGGCACAGTTTTCTGATTAGTGATTTCTGACAGCATTTCTTGAACCTTAGTGCCATCATCTAAAGAATAAAAATTATATAAAAAATTGAAGAGGGTTCCAAATCATTGTGAACTAAAGTGTTAACAACACCCAAATGCTCACATGAACACCCATAATAGGTCAGTGTGTTATGTAATTTTATAAAACAATGACTCAAGAAGGGAAAACACCCATGCTTTCAAAGAACACCTTAAAAAAAATAAAGATCAATCTGCTGATTCCTTTGGAGATAAACCCTTCAAAATTAGATTTGGTTGTATAATTCAATGACTAAGGCAAGACAGATTAAAAACCCTCTTTAAGACAGAGAGAGTCAACAGAAATGTGAGAGGATGTGGAATGTGAGCATCAAGATCAAGAAGCCTCAGGGACACACACACAAGCACTCTATCTCCCAACTTTTTAACACTCCTGAGACATTTACAAAACTGCATTATGTATTAATCCAAAAAGTTACAATAAATGACAAAAAAGCAAAATAATAATAATGATAGCCCTCTTTAAAAAGTAAATATCAAGATAAAATCTGCTGCAACCATAACTCATAAAATACCTCTTGCAATTACACTTGAAAGATTTTTATGATTATAATCCAAAATTTATCCTCCCCTCCTAAAAGTAAAACTGGTCCACAACACAACTATTAATACTTAATACTACCTCATTTAATATACTATTTAGAAAAGACAGCAAGATTCTAGAGCATTTCACTCATTAAGGCGACTTGGTTAAAATGAGTCAGCAAAGTTCTGTGATGGCAGAGATCAAATTTGTTCTGTTCATCTCCATGTCTTCCTCCTCTGCAAAGCACCTCATGTGCAATGTGCTGAATTAACATTAGATGCATAGATGCCAAGAATTCAAAAGTATAAAGTTAAAAACATAATGTACTCTCCCTCGTGGATAATACAGTCAGGAAATAGGAGAAGATCCTTTTCATTTATTACATCTTAATCTACTTTGCTAGAGAGTTGGCAGACACATCTGAAATGCCTCAAGGACTTCAAAGGGAGCAGCTTATATATCTTCCTCCCACTCCCTTCCCTCAACTATGGAAAATGCATAAATCAAGAAGCCTACACCAAATTATCTGTCACATAAGGGTTCATTTTCTGCATGGTTGAATACAGACAAAAATGGCTCATCTAACGCAGAGACAAGAGTAATTTGAATTGAACAAAATGAATGGAAAGAAGTCAATCTTGCTGGCATTTATAACAAACAACACTACATAGTAACCATTCTACTTACCAACTTGATCAAGTTCCAAGATGTTACATTCAACTCCCAAAGAAGAAAAGAGTTCTTTGACCTGTAATAAAAATTTACCTAAATTTCAATCCCATGAAAGATTCATCAGTTATGAAATATGGGCATAATGAGGGATGTCCAAAACAAATGTTCTTAAGGAATATGAGTTCTAGCCAATAGTCTGTTGTTGTTGTTGTTTTCCCCCTGTCCCCTACACTCTTTCCCAGAATAACTTCAGGCCATCACTTGCATTCTTTTTACTGCCTCCTTATGACTCCCAAATCTACAACTTTTGCCCAAATCTCTTTTCTGAACTCAAGACAGGCAATATACAAGGGGGACCAAAAAAAAAAAAAAAAAAACACCAGAATTTACTTATTTAAAAAACTGTTTATAATTCTTGCATATTTAAACTTCAGTCGCCTTCAAAATGCTCTCCGTTTGATGAAATATACCTATTGAGATACTTTTTTCCCATGACTCAAAACAGTTTCGAACTTGTCAATTTTGATGCTTTTTAGTGCTTCTGCCATTGTTTCACCTCTTCCACATAGGCAAATGTTTCCCTTTGAGAATTTTGCCATCGAGGAAACAAAATAAGCCTCTCAGGACTCTCAGGATGAGACTGGGTGAATAGGGAGGGTGGGGCATGGGGGTCACGCCATTTTCTGGTCAAAAACTGCTGAATGCTCAGTGTGGGCAAGTATGTTGTCATGACAGAAGAACCAGCTACCTGTTTGCCACAGCTTGGGATGTTTCTTCTACAAACTGTGACACAACCTTCTCAAAACTTCCAGATAAAAACTTTTGTTGACTGTTTGATCTGGAGGAACAAATTCCAAGTATACTACAAAGGGCCTGTCCTCCAAAAGATAATTCTGATTTTTTTTGGGGGGGGGGTCCTCTTCACATATTTTCTCACCTGCATGTCTCATAGGCACCTCACAGGCAACATGCCAAAAATATAACTCACCTCCTTCCATGTACCTTTTTCCTCTTTCTTCATTTCCTTTCAATAGTCATTAAACCATTCAACAAATTTTCATCCATCCAACACTTTGAATGGGTCATTCACTGTTCTAAGTACTGAAGATACAACAATAAACCATACACAATTCCTGCCCTCTGCTAAGGGAAACAGACAAGTGAAGTGACAACTTCACTAAGGCATTATTCTCCAGTTGCTTAAACAAAACTCCCCCTAGAGCCTTGCTACTCAAACAGGGCCAGAGGATCAGAAAAGCACAATATTACCCAGGAGCTTACCAGACATGCAGAATAGGGACCAGAAGCAGAATCTGCACCTTAACAATTCTGCCAAGCTCTGATTAGGAATCATTTTAATGCCTCCCTATCTTCCTTTCCCACGTGAACTCCCCATCCATCCAATTACAATAGTTCCTAAGTCTTAGTAAGTCTCTATGTTGAACTGGTTCATCTTTCTAGTTCTCCACAGTTGCTAATTTCATTTGATCACCAACAATGAATACTGGAAATTCTCAGTAATACCCTAAGAGGTCTCTCTGTATCAGCTTTGTCCTCTCCAGTTCTCAAAATTGCAGCCAAAGTGTTCTTTCACAACCCACCTTTTACGACATTACTTAAAACCCTCAGTGCCCTCAGCCCTCAAGATAAAATCCAGAGGTTCCACTTCCAGAATGGAAGAGTGAGCTGACTGGTGAAACATCCACAATTGGGGGAAATTATTTACAATCGCCATTTACAGTATCCAGAAAGTCCCTAAAGGCATTTAGCAAATGAAGAAACATTTATTCAAGAAAATCTACTAAATCTCAATTAGAACAGGGAAAGGCTGAAGCATCTGCATTCTGATACTGCCCTTTCCCTCCCCTGACCTAGAGTAGCTGATGGGAGCTCCACTCCAAGTGAGTGTGGGCCAAAAAACCAGGCTCCCGAGCCCTGATCAGGAAGAACACAATAATGCCGGCTTTCACCACTTTTATTCCAAATAGTACTGGAGTCCTAGCCAGAGCAATAATGCAAGAAAAAGAAATAAAACACATTCAAATTGGAAAAGAAGTAAAATTATCTCTGTTCACAGACAACATGATCTTATATGTAGAAAACCTACACCAGCACTCTTAGAATAAACAAATTCAGCAAAGTTGCAGGACATGAAATCAACACACAAAAATCAGTTGCTTCTCTATATATTAACAATGTACAATACAAAGTGGAAAAGAAAAGAAATTCCATTTACAATAGCACAAAGAATTATATACTTAGAAATAAACATAACCAAGGAAGCTTTGCTTGTACATTGAGAACTACGAATGTTGGTGAAAGAAATTAAATATGACACCAATAAATAAAAAGAATTCCCATGTTCATGAATGGGAGGACCTTATATTGTTAAGATGTCAACAGTACCCAAAGCAACCTACAGATTTAACACAATCCTTATCAAAATCCCAATGATCTTTTGCAGAAATAGAAAATCCAACCTATAATTCATATGAGATTTTGAGGGACTCTGAATTGCCAAAACAATCTTGAAAAAGAAGACCAAAATTAGAGCTCTCAAGCTTCCTGATTTTAAAATTTACTATAGAGCTATAGTAATCAAAACAGTGCGGTACTGGCATAAAAAACAGACATACAGACCAATGGAAGAGACTAGAGAGTTCAGAAATAAAGACATATGTATATTAAGTTATTTTTAACAAGGGTTCCAGGATCATTCAATGGGAAAAGGATCATCTTTTCAACAAATGATGTGGAGAAAACTGACTATCCACAAGCAAAAGAATGAAATTGGACCCTTACCTAACACCATGTATAGTAACTAACTCAAAATGAATCAAAGACCTAAATGTAAGAGCTAAAACTATAAAACTCTTAGAAGAAAACATAGGGCAAAAGTATGACGCTGGATTTGGCAATTATTTCATGGATATTACAGCAAAAGCACAAGTACAAAAAAAAAAAAAAGCACACCTCACAAAAACTTAAAACTTTTTTTTTTTTTTTTTTTAGTTGGAGTCTCACTCTGTCGCCCAGGCTGGAGTGCAGTGGCACGCTCACGGTCATCTCAGCCTCGACCTGCTGGGCTCAGGCAATTCTTCTGCCTCAGTCTTCCAAGTAGCTGGAACTACAGGTATGTGCTACCACACTGCCCAAGCTAGTCTTGAATCCCCGAGTTTAGGCAATCCTCTCACCTTGAATCCCCGAGTTTAGGCAATCCTCCTAAGTGCTGGGATTACAGGCTTGAACCACCATGACCAGTCAAAAAACTTAAAACTTTTGCGTATCAAAGGGCTCTATCTACTCAGGAGGCTAAAGCAGGAAGATCACTTGAACCCAGCAGTTCGGGGCTGTAGTGCATTTTGGTTCTGCCTGTGAATAGCCACTGCACTCCAACCTAGTAAACTATCAATCAAGCAAAAAGGTAACCCAAAGAATTTGAGACGTTATTTATAATCACATATCTGATAACCAGACTATATAGGGAATTCCTAAAACTCAACTACAAAAGAGTAAAAACCCAATTAAGAAATGGATAAAGCACTTGAATAGATATTCTCAAAAGAAGATATATAAATGGTCAATAAGCACATGAAAAGATGTTCAGCATCACTAATCTTTAGTGAAATGCAGATCAAAACCACAATGAGATAACATTTCACATCCATTAGGATAACTAGTACTTTAAAAACAAAAACAGAAAATGACAAGTGTTGGTGAGGAGATAGAGAAACTGAAACCCTTTCATACTTTGGGGGAATTTAAATTAGTGTTGTCACTACGGAAAACAGAAAAACAGTTCATCCAAAACCTAAAATAGAAATACCTTGTGATCAAGCAACTCCATTTTACCTGACAGGATTGAAAGCAGAGACTCAAATAAATATTTATACATCCATGTTCATGTCAGCATTATTTACAAGAGCCAAAAAGTGGAAGCAACACGAGTCTCCATTGACAGATGAATGGGTAAACAAAGTGTGCTATATGCATCCAGTGGAATATTATTCAGCTTTAAAAAGGAAGGAAATTCTGAAACATGCTCCAAGATGGATGCACCTTGAGGACATTAACATCAGTGAAATAAGCCAAACACAATCAGACAAATACTTTATAATTCCACTCATATGAGGTACCTAGAGTAACGAAATTCAAAGACAGAAAGTAGAATGGTAGTTGCCAGGATTAGGGGAAGGAGGAACAAGGAGTTAGTATTTAATAGGTACAGAATTTCAGTTTGGGAAGATGAAAAAGTTTTGTGGATGGATGGTAGTGATGGCTGTACCACAATGTATTTAGTGCCACTTGTCTCTACACTTAAAAATGGTTAAAATGGTAAAGTTCATGTTACATATATTTTATCACAATAATCTCTTAAAAGTTAACCGGTGCAAGTGTAAATTTTTAGTCCACAAATGTATAAATACAGGACGAGGGAAACATGGCTTAAAATTAATGTGGGGAAGAAGTTTTTAAAAAATCAGAGCATTGGAGATTTCCCTTGCCCATGCCACCAGCTCTGGCATGTCTCCCTTTCTTTTCTCCCTTCTTTCTCTAAGTTTTGTTTGAAAACTTTGAGGGAAAAAATTGGGGCTTTTTCTTCACTATTTAGTTTGGGTTATTATAAATGTCCTTTAATGGTGTCTTTCCAACAAGTCTAGCTGCCTCCATATTCTTAGACTAGTTTCATACAATGGCCAGATTTCAAACCACAGATCAGATCTTGCTCATTAAGTCGGAGATGACTTTCCTTTGCCATCAGCAAGCATTTTAAGGCCTCCTCAATTCACCTTTGAAACTATACTTGCAGCTGTTTTCCAATGAATTCTCTGATTTCCTTTTCATATACCCATGTTCAGCTACACTATTTTTCCTTTTATCATCTCCTGTCTTTGCTGATACTAATCCTTTTCTCTTTCTTCCCTACTTATCCCTCAAGAACCAGCTTCATTTTCTTAGATTGTTCTGATCCTCCACAGAAGCCACCACTTTATCCTGTATTACCACAGCTCTTGTTTTTCATAGGCTCTTCTGTCTACATGAGAGCTGGTGGAGCTCAACTAGACTATGAGTTCTTGAGCAGCAAGATCAAGATTTATTCATTTTTGTGTCCCTGCAACACTAAGCACCCAATGATGCTTGTTGAAGGATATTAGTAACCTAATAAAGAATAAATCTCGCTACTTGACTCTGCAAGGGTAAGGACATATGTGGACTATGGTGCCTAATTTTGGCTGATACATTTAAGAGGTTCATGGGCTAACAACTGCACAATCATGTTAGTGAATGTCACATGTAAAGATAGATACATAAGAAAGCAGCCTGCTCCAACAGGCAAGAAAAACACTTAACAAAAGTATTTGAAGATCTGCCATCCAAATAGCAGAGTTCTTTTCACAGCGTGGGTGTCCTTTGATGGACAGAAGAGACAGGAGATGAAGCAGAGTTCTTAATTCTACCCACTGGAGCAATGCTCACCTCCAAGAGTGAGTAAATGCTTCAGGGTGGCAGATTTGGGCTCATTTAAAAAACTCCAATAATCAGAGCTATCCAACTATGTAATAAGACTCAAAGTAGTGACCACATTACTGAAAGTGATGACACACACTGGATAGAGGACCATTTTTCGTAAGATTTTCTGCATCAGAAAAGATTTGATTCAAGTGAGATCCAAGGCCATTTATTCCTTCAGCCCACATTATGTGTCTGACACTATTCCAGGCCCCAGTGATACAGCAGTGGATAGACACAGTTCTGATCTCTGGATCTTCTAAAGGACAACTCTTAAGATATAGATAGAAAACAGACCCCAGAAATGGACCAACACATATGTGAGAACCTGGCTGATGAGGAGTGAGCATTCAAGCTTGCATGGAAAGGATGAGCTCTCCAATAAATGAAACGGGAACAACTGACAAGTCATAAAAGAAGAAAACAAATTGGATCTCCACACATATCACCAACATCAATTCAGGTGGACTTAAATAAATTAGATGTGCAAAGCACTGTACAACGTTCAGGAGCTAAAACAAGAGAATGTCTTTATGATCTCAAAATAGAAACAGAGCTCCTAAATAAGACACCAAAAGCACAAACCATAAAAAGAAACTTGGAAACTTCAGTTAACCAAAAGATCCTATAAAGAGGGCAGGGGGAGCCAAATCTGGGAGATTTTTCTGATAGCATCATTTCGTTCACTGTCACTTCATTGTAACGTTGATGAAAAAATGAAACGGATTCCCAGTCAGGGCCACTGTCAGGTGGAGTTTGTACATTCTCCCATTTTCTCTGGGTACTCCAGTATCCGCCTACATCGCAAAGATGTGCATGTTAGGGTATCTGGCAGTGTTCCAGTAGGAGCACATTTTTTGGGGGGGGGCACTGTGAGTGCACCTGTAATTGGATGGCATCCTGGCCAGGGTTGGTTGCCACCTCACACCCTGAGCTGCCAGGACAGCTGCTGGCCACTGGCAACCCTGAAATGGAGTAAGCGGGTTGGAGAATGAATGAATGAAAACAAACACAAATTATTATCAAATAAAAATGTGTAAAGTAGATGATAATCGTAACATGCATGACAATAAGCAATGTGGTATGAAAGTGCTCAGTGAACCCTCATTATTTGTGATTGCTTTTGAACTGAGAAGTGGTAGGAGGTGCTCCTTACAATTTTGCTTTGCAAACATTTATTTCTTTTTCACCCACCACCACCAAACCCCCTCCTCTGATTCACCAAAAACTGGATAAATAATTATCTTCCTTGCTTTTATTAACCTTTCTTAAATATATGTAGAGCTCACATTTAATTCCATGCTTAACATTAAAAGTGGTTTGTGGTCTTTATTTAGAAGTTTGGTGATGTTTTGTGACCAGAAATATGCCACAGGAACTTAACTCTTCTTTCTATCAATTAACATATGGTAAAATTGGTTTCATTATACGTTCTTTTGCTTAAAGTCACAATTTCCAAGAACCTATCAACAATGTTAAGGACTTAATGTATTAACAAAGAATTAACATCCAAAATATGTAAAGAATGCCTACAAATCAGTACAGAAACATAAAAGTCACCCAGTAGGGAAAAAAGCAAAAGATTTGAAAATTTCATACAAGACCAAACTCAAATGGCCCGTCAACACAAGAACTTCATCTGGGAAATGCAAAATTAAAACCACAATGAAATACCATTTCATAATTGCTAGAATGGCAAAATTCAAAAATATCAACTGTTAGCAGGAGGAAATATTGATGACTGGCAGGAGGGTAAACTAGCATAACTACGTAAAAAAGAAATCTCACATTACCTTGCTACAGTAGAAACCATGTATCCTTTATAGTCCAGCAATTCCACTTCAAGACATCTACCCTAAAGTAAGTCTTTCATAAGCACACAGGGAGAACATATGTGCAAGAATAAACATGTAACTGCATTGTTTTTAAGAGCAAAGTTCTAGAAACAGCAGAATGATAGACTGTGGTATGATTCATCCTTGGGAATACTACAGCAGTGAAAACTAATTAACATGCACGAATCTCTAAAACATAACTGTTGAGGAAGAAAACTTCAGAGGATTATATATGTATGTATGATTCTATTTATACAAAGTTCCAAAACAAGGCAAAAGGCACAATCAATATTGTTTAATGATATATATGCATTTGGCGAAAGTGTAAAGAACAGTAAGCAACTTTGGGATAGCAGTTAATCCTGGGAGAGGGAGGAGACATCCAAGGAGGCTCCTACAGTACTAGTGTCATTTTATTATTCTCTAAATATATATGCATGATATATATGTCTTAAGAAACTATATCAAGTTTGAAAAACAGAATCTATAATTTCATGAACACAACTCAATAGTTCATGCTTTTGTATATTATCTCCCACATATCATTATTTCAGCTTTCTAATAACGTGAATTTCTAAATACAGAAAGTCCCTGTATCATACGCCAGTTGCCTTCCAAAGGTTCATTTCTAAATGAGTTATTTTTAAACTATGCATACATTTGTCTACAGAAGTAATGCTGGACTCCCAGCCGGCCCCCGAAAGTTAAGGTGGTGTGCCACAGAGCAGAAATTACTGCCTATCATCCTCATAACCTTGCTTTATCCTCATTTGACAAGAGGGGGACACCACGGCTTGGCAGCGTGCAGCAACCTGTTTCAAGGTCACTCAAGGTAAGAAGCGGGGTTTGAATCCAGCTCTAGCCAATCCCCAAGCGGTCGCCTCCCCTCGCACCACCCCTTACTAAGCCAAAACTGTTCTGAAAATCTTTTTCATCTTGATAAACTCTTTAATCAGGTTAAAGTCAGCGGGGAAAGAACGAGCGAGGACCCAACAGGCTGCGGTCCGAGACCACGCGGGGGAGCCGGGCCAGTCCGGCTGCTCTAGCCCGCGCGTGGCCTCGCCTCCACGTCGTGCCCGAGGGGCTGAGCACCCGGACGCCCTGGATTTCGACCCCGATCTCCCGCTGAGGGCGGAACAGGTGGCGCTCGGGCCAGGTCACGGGGGAAGACCTGGGAGAAAGGACCAGACGGGGCTCCACCGACCGCGCTCCGGGCCGAGGAAGCCACGCCCTGAGCCCTCAAAGCAGACGCCCCGCCTACCCGCGAGCTGTGTGGACAGTAGCTTTTGCTGAAGATCATCACTCGGTTGCCGTCGATGAGGCCCTGGAGGCGCCGCCGCAGCGCCTCGCGGGCCTCGGACGAGCGGCCGCTCCCGTGAGACGGCAGACGGGCGCGGCGCCCCGGCGGCGACGACATGGGCACGCCGCGGACGCTGCCCAGGCGGCGGTTGGGGACGACGCCCGCCTTCCCCGGCTGCGGCGAGGTCGGCGCCTGCGGCGGCTGCTCCAGGGTCCCGCTCTAGCTCCCGGCGAGGACCGGCCTGCTCAGAAACCGGGACGCGGCGGTTGGCGGCGGAGGGACTGGGCTGAGGGCGGTGAACGCTGCCCGCGCTGTCCAC